TAGTGTTTGGCAGCAGCTATGTAATCAGGCTCAAGCAAAATTCTGAAATATGCATTGGTCAACTGGTGTGATGGTTTGGTGTGATACGTTGGTCAAATGGCTTGAGACCTCTGGCATCAAGTTTCACTAGGTCTGGGCTGCAAACAAGTGTTCAGTTGTTCAGAATATCATGTGTACCAGATTGGATTAGGAAGAATCAACTTTGTTTAGCTAGTAACAAGCAAATGTCACCCTGCCAATTCTTGATCTACCCTTAACTTAGGGGAAAAATAATTTACCCTCTGGATGTTCCCCGAGTTTTGCAAAAACAAATTTGCCCTCAGGCTCTTTTTTGCTAAAAATGAGTTTGAACACTGTATGTATGGCTGAGACCCAGTTGTGAACAGCTTTGTAATGGGCAATCTTGTGGTGATTCAATAATAAAAAACTTTTAAGAGCTATTATGCATGCAAAAAAAGAGTCCACTGTCCGCTGTCCTCCCATTGCTCATCAATTTGCTCGAGCCAGCCCAGTAACGTCTCCTTTGTGAGACTTGTTGTTACTGTGTTTGGCATATTGAATACATAATGGGTAGCTTGCTATGCTTTGCCGTGCGTCAAGATACTCTCGGTAGCTTGCCAGGCTCTCCGAGAGGGGTGGAGAAATCGAACCCGGGTCGGCCGGGTGCAAGGCAAATTCCCTACCCGCTGGGCTATTGCTCCAGCCCTAAAAAAGAAGAAGCCTATAAAAATGATCATCTCCAGAAAAGTTTGCAAGAGGCTATTGAGGTGAAGCCTGACGTATTGCCCACTATAGTATCTTGCCTATGTATGAAGTGTTGTAAGAGTAGAATTATGAGCCTAGAGAGATTATACAGCAGGGGGGGTGCTTGCTATGCATATGACTGGCTCGGGTTCTAATCCCCATCACCCCACTTATTTCCTGAGCCTCGCCAGCAGTGATCTCTATGCCAGATGTGTTTCCTAACCCTCCAAATAGTGGTATAATTTTAAGCTTGAGATATGGTGCTTTTGAATTCAACTGGGGACTTATCATTTTAAAAATATTTCTTCAGTGGCCTGAGACATAGAACAGCGGAGAAGGTGTTTGTCTTGCATGCAGCTCACCTGGGGAGGCATCTCATATGGTCTCTGGAACCCTGCAAGGAGTAATCTCTGAGTGTAGAGCCAGGAATAAGCCCTGAGTACCTGAGTCATGCCCCAAAACCAAAACAAATAAAAAATAAAGGTAATGGGGTTGTAAGACTGAAAATAATAGTGGTGAATAGGTTAAGATTCCAGAGGTATTTAGACTATTAACTTGATGTTTGAAGAAAGGTGGACACAAGAAGTGATTGCTCACTTAATGTTTTGTGTGGGTAACTAAAAATATGGGAATGTCCATTTTCAGGAGATGCAAGTTTCTTTGAGAAGTTGCTGACTTGCCTTTTGGACAGTTAGAGTTTATAGGAATGACAACTGGAGATAGTTGATTAAATTGCTGACTAAGGCTGGATTTCTACTGATATTCTTAAACTTATGCTGAATCACTTCAATGGGACTTATTTGCTTAGGAATGGAGACGTGCGCTTTTTCATCCCCTTTTGGTAATCGGAGTATATTTCACTTCACACAATTTGTGCTCTGTGCGTGGTGAATTGGGGGGGGGGAGCGTGGGGGTAGAGTGAACATTAAAAACACTCCCAGTAGACCCAGCTATTCATTCTACAGTACCTGATTTAATGAATTTGACTAGCCCATATAGATAAACTTGGGCAGTAGGTTAGACTGACTACAAGTTTTGGCACTTTATAATAGTTTGAAGAGAATTTATAACAGAAACAGTGTTGTAGTTACTAAACATTTGAAATTAATGTATAATTATATAGAATTCAATACGTCTCATATTCATGTTGTAGTAGGGTTCCCTGGGTGTCATATGTGAAGTGAGAATTAGAGCGGCAGCAGTGTGGAGAAGAAAATACATTGCTTTATCGATGCTGAAAAGTTATCATGTTTATCCCTTTATCTGCTTTCAACACTTAGTTCCTGTCCAGCATGATCATTTTCCAACTAATATTATCATAGTGGTCCTTTCTCTATCTTACCTAGCCTCCAACCCACAAATACTTGTGGTAGATTCCAACAACTGATCAGTCCTACTAGCCCCTGTTTTCCTTGGCCTTAGATATTAGTCTTCTACTATAGATTCTTTCATATGCCACCAATGCATGCAGTCATTCTTTATCTGACCCTCTCCTTATGATTCATTTCACTTAGTATGATACTCTCCATGTCCATTTTACTGAAGCCTAATCATGAACAGCTTTGTAAGAGTCTATCTCACAGTGATTCAATAAACAAAATGTTTTCCATAAAAAGGAAATATATTGCTTCCTTCCCTCTCTACCATCTCAGTCACCCCAAAAATGTGGGAAATGTCGAACTGAAGTAGGACTGTGATGACCACCTACATGGCACAAACCTTATGTCTCACTAGTTCTGGGAGGTGGTCATCAAACCACATCTGGGTTCCACTTGTTCTTCCCAGGATGGAAAATTATCCCTGCTATCCATTTTGTCAGGGGCCGTGGAACCCAGACTACAATGAGGAACTGCTCTGCAGGGAAATAAACTCAGTCATAAATCTTACCCATCATCTTCTTAGGTTCATCATCTTCCCTCACCAAACAATTTCAAGAGAAGATGAGTATTATAGTCAAACAAATTTATTCAGAAAATAAAGAAAGAGAAGAAGAAAGTGGTAGATACATGTTCAAGAGAACACAGCAGAATTCTCCAGAGTGGGGAAAAACCCAACGAAGTACATATCCTAAGTAGGGATATGAGGACAATTCCCCCAGAATGTGGAAATGTGTCTTAAAGTAAGAATGTACTTATAGGCAGCAAAGCTTGGAGCTGTTGATAATCTTTTGATATTCTTCTAGTGGCCTTTTTCCCAGTAGTGGAGGACCTATTCCAAGAGGTCCAGCCTTTTTTCTCTCTGGAATCTACTCATTGCTCTGAGGGCGGGGCTTCCTAATATTCTTCACTAAGTGGTTTTCTAGTCACTTGAGGTACATCTTTTTCTCAAAGGCCTTCATGCCTTTGGGTGGTATAGGTTGCAGACATTTTACACAATATATTATATACATATATATATGTAAAACTAGGCAGGCAACAATATGGTATCTCACTCAAGGCAACTGCTTTGATATTTATATATTAAGTTCTAAATACTATTTAAGGATATACTCTTCAATTCAAGATATTTAAATTTTTAAAAATTTATATTTTTATTGTACTATGAAAAGTAAAATCATACATTTAGAATCCTGAGGTAGTATTTTGAATGGAGTTTGTCAGCAATAGTATGATACTGTGACTGGTGCCTACAGAACCTGGGTGTACAGTTGACATCTGTGCTTTTAGTTTTTTGTCCTGATTTACTTTGTTCATCAAAGTTAGCTTTTTGTTATTGACATTTGTTTTTTCACTTCCGAATCATATGAAGAGTCTTTAAAATGCAGGTTTCAAGGCACTTCTCCAAGAGTAGATCTAGAATGAAATCTGCTTTGTAAATATGTATCAAAGGACCACAGACTACACATAGTATCATCTGACATCTCTCATATTTGTCTGTTTCCTTTGAACTTAAACATTAATTTCATAGAGAAGAAAGCTCCAGTGTTAGCTGCACATGAGCTGCATTCTCAGGACCCAAATTCAATTCCTAGTACCACGTGTCCACCTGAGCACTGCCCTGGAGGCCTTAAGCACTGCCTCGGTGGCATGGTGGCCACTGGCACTTTGTTTTTGAGCAGTGCTACATTACCAGGCCCAAACATTGAACCATCCATACAACCAGATAGAGTTTTGCCAGGAATGCCCCCCAGGTTCCCTGAGCCCTGCTTGGGAGCCCCGTACCCTTCCCCTGCAAAAAATCAGTAAGTTCAAAATAACAAGGAATTTCTTTAAGATAGTTCCTCTAGCTCATATAATCTCAAGTTTAGGATTTATGAATGAATTTCAGAGGATCTATGAATCCTTGAAATTATGCCTGAAAGCACATGTGTACCTACATTTTTACTGGAGGAGAAGCTTAACCCTTTAGAATTCTGAGTCCATGATACAATTCAGAATAATTAGCCCCACCATGTGGCTTAATATCAACAATACCTAAACTCCATTAGCTAAAATAGTCCTTACTTAACTATCCATTCCCTCTCCCTCCTTTTCTTCCTTTCTCTCTTTCTCTTCCCCCTTTCCCACACCTCCTTCTGTGTGTGTCTGTGTGTGTGTGTGCATTTGTGCACATGCACATGTGTCTGAGATGGGCATAGTTCTCTCAAAATCCAGCTTTGGACAAATCCCATTTTACTCTTGCATTGGCATGAATGATCAAGAACTGCCTATAGGTATTATGATTATTCTCATTTTTGTTGTTATGGTATTATTACAGTTTTGATTATTGCAAATCAACATTTGCCTGTTAAGATTAAAGAAAATTTTATGTGATACATATTTCTTAGATTTTTCCCTCATTCCAGAAGACTGAATAGAAAAGAAATATTTATAGGCTTACTTGTATTTAGTGAATATTTGCAGAGCTGTATTATTAATGCCATGTCCATGCATGCTCTGACTTTTATATCTAAAGTAACCCTTTTAAGAATCACCCTCAATCAGAAAATTGAAAATACTCAGTACAAATTCTGTAATATCAATTAATTTTATTTATAATATAAACATTGTTTCAAAACATTGAATTTTAAAATATTAAATTATTAACTCTATTTGAAAAAATTATTAATTTCAGTGCATTTACCAAGACCTGTATTTTTCTCTGAATAAATTTGATCGTTATAAAGATCTTGATCAGGTTTTGATCACCAAAATTTAAATGATTCTGTTCATTTGTAAACAACTCCCTACATGCTGAAATATTTAATTTCCATACTCTCACTTCTGACAAATAATGAAGGGTTAATACTTGACCTTTAAATTTTATTTTTTAATAAGAGTACTAAAACAGCGTCAGAGCCTCCCTTGGCTCCTCCTGTGTCTGAGGAAGAAGATGAAGAAGAGGAGGAGGAAGAAGATGACAATGAGCCCCCACCAGTTATTGCACCAAGACCAGAGCATACAAAATCAGTAAGTCATAATTGACTCTTTCCAAATGACTCAAAAGATGTCCTTTGGAACAACCATGTAGTTAGAATATAATTAGAAACTAGTACACAAACTGAGTATCTATTATGTTCCAGGATTAGAAAGTAGGATTGGCCAAGTTCAATGTTTGGAGATACAAGGTTAGTATGTGACTATTGGAGAATAGTGCCAGATGATATATAGAGGGTAGTAAGTTATAAAAGTGCTGTAGAAATTAAGGTTAAGGAAGGAAAAACAGGCAAACCAAGTGTGAAAACATAAACAGAGTCAATAAGACCAGAATAGCACAAAATGTATGAGGATCTCCAAAAACTAGCTCCTGAAAACTTTCAAGGGCCGTGTTCTTGAAGTGACTTTTAGTTATTATTATTTTGAAGGAAATTATTTGTTTTTGAAAACTCACTGATGATTGAGAATGCTGTGGGGAGTGTAAATAGGCCACCACAGCAAATGTTTCAGACAGTGAAAATGCTATTTATGTGAAAAAAATATGTATATATTATATGTGTGTATGTGTGTGTTGTGTGTGTGATGTGTCATTGTATATATCATTATATAGTTCTCCAAACCCACAGAATGTACTACACTTCTAAGAGTGATCATATGTAAACTGTAGACTTTGAGTGATTCTGATATATCGATATAGGTTCATTAGATCTAAGAGATGTATTATTCTGGTGGGGGTATTAATAATTAGAGAGATGAGGCCTGGGGGAATGGGTAGAGGATATATGAAAAATTTTAGTACCTTCCACTCAGTTTTTCTGTGAGCCTAAAACTACTTTGAAAGTTAAATCTTAACTTTAAAAATTTTATCAATATGACTATCTTGGCTGCATGTTATTTTATGGCCTGCTGTTCTAATTCCTTAACTTTATTTTTATTTTTAAGATCTATACTCGTTCTGTAGTTGAATCCATTGCCTCACCAGCAGCACCAAATAAAGAAGTCACACCACCTTCTGCTGAGAATGCCAATTCCAGTACTTTATATAGAAACACAGATCGGCAAAGGAAAAAATCCAAGATGACAGATGAGGAGATCTTAGAGAAGCTAAGTAAGTTGTTTATTTGTTGTCCTTTTTGTTTTTCATCAATAATTTTTCCTGAGAGGATTTCTTATAGACCATTTGCAATGGGACTTAATCCACTGAATACTTGAAACTACTTTTATGAGTTCCAGGCTCTTTGAAATAACTAAATTAAAAGTTGGGGGCTTATTGTCTTTTCTGGATTACTCATTCTCTTACCCTCTTAATTTGACAGATACTAAATATTTTCACTTGAGAAAAATCAATTAAACTGAATACTTAATAAAAGCAATTAGCTTTAAGATTGGACTCCTCAAGTATAATTCTTTCCCATTGACATTAGTGTGTACATAGTTGTACAAACATACTCCTTACTCTAATTTAAAAAAAAACTCTTCTACCATGTTTAGTGAGTAAATAGAATTTTAACAATAAATTCTGTGTAAAAAGGAGTCATAGTATATGTGAACAGTAATCATTCAAATAATCTACAAAATGTTCTAACAAATTTCTAGTTATGCACAGTTGCACATGCAGTGACTTTGTAATACCTACTTATCCACTGAAACTCAACTTACCTGTGAGATCATACAGAAGGTAGGCTCTATCCTTTTACTCAGCCAACTGGGTTGAATCCTTGGCACTGCATAAGTAGATAACTCAAGATTAAGAGCTCAGTGGACTGAGCACATGCCCTGAAACTGCAGGCCTGGGTTCAATCCCCAAGAATCCTGTGGTCCCCTGAGTACCACCAGGGTAAAAAAAAAAAGAACCAATCAGTCAGGACTAGTCCCAAATCACCATCAGGTGTGGTACCTGAACAAAACAAAAAAAAATGTTGCTTCCTCACAAAAGCATCTCATAGATTGTGTTAAGGATCCCTCTTACTGCCTTGATTTCATCAAATATCACTTGTACTAGTCTATCTCCTTCACTAAAAGAGTCCATGCCCTGCTCTCTTTTCCTATATGTCCAATTTCTAGTAAGGTGCCTGATAGAGAAAGATACTTAATACATGCTTGTGAGGTGAGTGGATGAAAAAAATGAACAGATGCATCATTACTAAATACTTACTTACCTATTCTATGCAATCTATAGAGAAAATAATAGAACATTAAAATCACCTTCATTGGTATCAAGACATGTATAATTTTATTTGAAAGATAAGTTCTAATACTATGGTACAATTAAACAGAAGGAGACCATCTTGTTCATGAAAAATAAATATTAGGATTTTAGAAAAGAAGAGAGTAATTAGGGCTATGAGCCACAAGAAGATTACAGGGACAATGGAACATTTGTCAGTGTCTAGAGACATGTTTATTCTCACAATTCAGAGAGTGCTACTGGCATCTAGTGGATGTAAGCTTGAGATGCTTCTAAACACGTAAACCAAATGGTGACTCTTACCTCTCTATGTAACAAAGTATAATTATTCAAAAATGTCAATGAATAAAATCTCAATAAATATTAAATATAATGTCAAAGTGATGGAGATGAGATATTCTGTGCTAAAGGTATTTAGAAATCAAAAGTTCGGTTATAGGGGCTAGAGCAATAGCACAGCGGGTAGGGCGTTTTGCCTTGCACGCGGCCAACCCGGGTTCAATTCCCAGCATCCCATATGGTCGCCTGAGCACTGCCAGGGATAATTCCTGAGTGCAGAGCCAGGAGTAATCCCTGTGCATCTCCAGGTGTGACCCAAAAAGCAAAAAAAAAAAAGTTCCAGTTATAGCTGTCATTAAATGCTCAAAATAGCCACTGTAGTTTTAAACCAACTAGCTTTCCTATGCATACTTAAATAAGCCTCTAAAGCTAATATCAGCTACATGCTGTGCTAGCAGTGTAGTCATTCCCATTTATTATTTTCTTTACTGTCCATTTATCTGATGGATATGATTTTCACAGCCATCCTGCAGTAGATTTTAATGTCCCTTTTCTGCAGAAAGTGCAAGAAAACATTAACACGTATAAGTTACCAGATCACTAAACTAATACATGCCAGAGCCAGTTTGAACTCAGATGAATTTGCTGTCAGAGCTTCTACTGTTTCCATTACCCACTTTGCTTCTGCATACCCATTTGTATGAAAGGGAAGGAAGGAATGAAAATTTTGCTGAACTTCAGTTTTTTTAATCCCCTTTATATTTTGTACATGTAGACATGGTTCATGAGATTATGTAATATTTAAGAATCTAACAGTGTCATGTGGGAAAATGACCTATTCGCTATTTCAGTGATCGCTGGATTTATTATAATAAAATGAATTTAAAACTTTACTAAGTTTACTGAGAAGTAAATATTTTATTTAATCTTCGTAATCTTGGTTTGCTTATGAACTGGTATGGTAAAAAAATCTCTGGGGTTTATAATTTATTCTAGCCTGCACCAAGCACCATGATAGAATGGGAAAGCTGTAATTGATCACATTTGTGTTTTTTTAAATCTTTATTTAAGAATGCTTGGGCCTATAGACAATCATTTTACCCCTAGTCAGTGGAGTATGTAACTCTTAAATATACCTTTTGTTTATCAATATTGGCAGGGGGATCCTGTAGAGAATGGAAAAATACCTTTCATGAAGCAGATCCAGGCTAATCTGTTCTCCAGTCAGTTTTTCCTATTCCTACTAATCAGCAGTCTCTTGTCCTGTCTTGGCTCATTAATAACCTTGTTTATTTAACCCTCTGAACTTCATTTTTATATGTCAAATTGAGATAAGAATTATAACTATATTTTATTTTTAAATTTTATTTAAAGAACTATGATTTACAAAGTTATTGATAGTTGAGATTTAAGCATATAATATTCTAGCACCATTCTCACCACCAGTGTTCCAATGTTCCCTCCCATACCGCCAGCCTTCCACCTTGACAAGCACATTATAAAATTTTGTGGATATAGTTTGAATCTCATGTTTACAGTGTTGTCTGTAATATATATATATATTATATATACCACACCCTGATATTACTAGTATCGCTGATTTTCCTGACTTCTGTCCCCTTGTTACTTCCCTTTCTCATCTTCCTTCCCTTCCTTCCTTCTTTTTACTTATTTATTTATTTAGTTAGTTAGTTTTGGCTTTTTGGGTCACAGCCAGAGATGCACAGGGGTTTCTTCTGGCTCTGCACTCAGTAATTACTCCTGGCGGTGCTCGGGGATAGGGGATGCTGGGGATCGAACTAGGTCAGCCACATGCAAGGCAAATGCCCTACCTGCTGTACTATCGCTCCAGCCTCCAACCACATTTAAGATTATATCTTTAAAATGAATTTCAGGGGGCTGGAGAGATAGCACAGTGGGTAGGGCATTTGCCTTGCACATGGCCAACCCGGGTTCGATTCCCAGCATCCCATATGATCCCCTGAGCACCACCAGGAGTAACTCCTGAGTGCAGAGCCAGGAGTAACCCCTGTGCATTGCCAGGTGTGACCCAAAAAGCAAAAAAATAAATAAATAAAATGAATTTCAGGCTTAATATAAGGCTAAGAGGACAGGTATTGGAGGCAGAAAAAAACTAGATTCAAATTACACACTCATTGCTACCAGCTGTGTTGCTTTGGACACATTTAAAAAGTTTCCTCGATTTATTTTCCATATCTAAAAAAATGGGGATAATAAATGTACTAATCTCATGATAATTAAATGTGAACAATGCAGGTAAAAATCTGAACGCTAGTATCTGGTAAAGAATAGATCCTCAGGCCAGAGAAACAGTATGGTGGATAAGGCACATGCTTTGCATGCAGCTGACCAGTGTTTGATTCCTTGTACCACATATAGTCCCCGGAGCACTGCCAGGAGTGATTCCTGAGCACAACTGGATATGACCCCAAAATAAGAAATGAATTTAAAAGAATAAAAGAATAGATCCTAAAAAAATCAGTATTTATTTTGTGTTTTTTGTATAAAACTATCATTAAGATAGCATAGTGAGGAAGGCTTTTAAATTAATCTTCACTGGGACTGAGTCATAGACCAAAACTAGCCTTTGAACAAGTGATTTATCTTCTCTATATTTTTGTTTCTTAATCTGAAAATAGAGATATAACAAAGTTTATGGGGACTAAAAGAGGCAAGGTATATAACATATGTAGTATAATAAATACTGCTGTAAAATTACTGAGCAGTTTTTGCAGAGTATGGCCATAATTTTCTGTTTTAAAAGTAGGATTTTGCAGCTGGAATAATTTCAGATATGTAATAACTATAGAGAAGTTATTTTTAAAAACCTTAGAGTGTAAAATCTCACTGGAGTTGGGCAAAGGGGTAGAGGAGCCTTACAAAGCATAAAGGGAGATAAAGGAATGACTGGAAACCCCATACCAGAACAAACCATAAGTCTAAGGAGGAAGAGGAGAGAGTAGTTTTATATTCTGTCTTAGTGATCAAATTATTATGAGGTGGACAGTCCAGACCACAGTGATGTTAAGCTATTCGTCTTCCATCATGATCACGATCATGATCATCCTGTTGTTCGTCGATTGCCTCAAGCAGGCACCAGTAACGTGCCCTTCGTCCTAGCCCTGAGATTTTAAAAAGTGCCATATTCAAGGCTCTTTCAGGGTTAGGAGAATGACACCCATCATTGTTACTGGTATTTGGCATATTGGGTAAGCCATGGGGAGTTTGCCATACTCTGCCGTGTGGGCAGGTTACATTCGGTAGTCTGCCAGGTTGTCCAAAGTAAGAATGAGATAATAAGATGTCGCGAGGCCACAAATGCAGCCACACACTTCCTGGAGCTGGGTTTTATAGTCTCTGGGTCTTGGCTGTTGATGGGATTACATGGCTGGGTGGGGGGGCAGTTGGTGGGTGTGATACCTGCCTACTGGAAGATGGAGGATCTGGGTGGAGGATGCTCAGCCCCAATCCAAGCAGGCTTGGAGATCTCATCCCTGGGACCTGCATGCCTTTGTTCCTCTGCCGGTGCCTTCATACGTGTGGAGAGTGGTCTCAGCATGGTTGTGGCTGGTTCTAGAGGTCTTCAGCTGCCCGATCTCTGCTCAGGGCGGGGAGGGAAA